TTGCTGTTAGGTTGGAAGTTAGCCACAAACTTCATTTTTCTTGTACAAAGGGGTTCGAGAGTTTGACATTTCTAAAACATTTTTCACTGCTTATTTCTAAAACATTTTAAAAAGAGTTTTTCAAAATCAAGTTTTTTCTGAAACACACAAGTCACCCCCCTCTTGTGTCTGGAGACACATGTCCAACAATTAGAACCTATATTAAACACCATATTGGTAATTTCACCATCACAAGTATTCGACTCACGGTAGATATGACAAACTCGTACCTCTCAATTCAGTTTGAGCAACTGTTGAATTTGTTGCACCAATTACATTACAATTATATTTGTAACACACTGATTTTTATACAACAAAAGTGTATTTTTAAAAGGTACTATTTTTCATAAATAAATTAATTAAAGGTTTTCTTTGTATGAAAATAGCGTCCTTTTTTTTTAAAGACAGATACCGCGACAATTTTGTAGTTAATAATGTTTTAAGAACTCAACATATGTTTTATAAAAGAAATTAGCTAAACCATTTTTAAAACATAAAACATATTATACATATAGACGACAAAGCGTCAAAGGATATGAAGTATAAATAATGTTTATAATACAATCCATAAACACAATAGAATAAAAGTCCTCAGCAGACACTCACACAAGAGAGTTGCCCCAAGGAGAAAATTTCTAACCATGCATAGTGATGGTCATATGGCGCATGCAATATAGTACTAAAATACTCCTACCAGCCACGTACTCCATTCCATAACTAAGCCTAATGACAACCACAATAGCCACCCACCCCGACTCTGCATAATCCACCGCAAGCACTCGATTAGGTGTGACCGGATTCATCCTTATCATATCCACTCTCATAATCATGCTTTGAGGGATCCTCAATGTCGTCATCTTCTGCCTCACCTACATCTGGATCCAATGATGGCACGCGTGCTGGATTAATATGAAGGAACTCGTATTTGGGAAAGACGTCACAAGTGAACGTCAAGGGTAGTTCTAACGACATATCTAAGTCTAGGGGAGACATGGATATATCATGAAAGAATGGTCCACTCCCCACAACTGAGGCGTATTAGGGTCTAGGTGGGGCTGAGGGAGAGGTCAACAAACCAAAATGGCCAATCACCTTTGAGAGGAAGCTAGTGATGACCAAAGAGGCTGGAATTTAGAAGGTCATAACTTGACGAGAGTAAGTGGTCTTCGAATCCCTACCAACAATAGTGCTGGTCTCTAGTATGTTCCCAGCGTATGAGATATGTCTTAGGGCCAGGTCGAGATCTGTCCTAGGGCCGGGTCGAACCCCTAGGGAATCTTAGTCTAATCATCCGGAAAGGTGAAGTCCGTCATCTTCGACGACAGTGGCTCCTCGCACCTCGGGTGTATCGTGATCTAATGGTGAATCGCCTACACATCCACTGAAAGGGTCATCAATTCGAAAATGACAAATATAGAATAACTGAGCATTAAGCATAAATGGATAATACATTATACATGGCTAGATATTTCATTCCAACACATGCATATAGTTATTTACAAATGTAGTACACATATCATAATTAAGACTCATTTCTAATGCAATACCTATATGTCGATGCACATGATTTTGGAACATCAATCCCTCTGCAAAGGGTCGTGGTTTCGCTTCAAGATTTAGCGCCACTAAGGTGATGGGTATCTACACCATCAATCAAACTCAAAGATCCACATTGAAATAAGGTTGTTCCATCTTAGACATGCACCCCGTGCCACCTTTCCATTGTGCACCTCGTGACTCCTCTCCGGTAGCCACGTAACTCTGAAGTGCATGATGCATAAAATTCCCATATATGCATTTCAACACATGTGTAACGTCACAACATATCATACGAAATAATTTATCTCATGCATAAAATTATTTCAAAACATATATATATATATATATATATATATATATATATATATATATATATATATATATATATATATATATATATATATATATATATATATATATATATATATTCATTTATACAATTAGTTATCTCCAGAATAAAACACGTAGGAAGATACAAAGCAGGTATAAATATAGAATGTATTTTCATTATTGGAAGAAGTATATAAAAATAGAGAGATGCCCTTACGGTAACGATAGTCGTGGAAAATGAAATTTTGTTGAAGTTGGTCGGTTGGTCGTGCACCTTTATCCAAAATGAACTAAATTAGAACGAACTAATATAGAATGAACTCGTATGTTGTAAACTCCGTCGTCATCCGATTTATTTATTATTTACTTGAGTTAACACATTTATTACTAAATTTTTCCTAAAAGTATGGTATTATATTTTTTTTACCGTGACTTAGATAAAGAGATTTTTTTTATCATTTATCAAAATTACAATGACTAATTTAACTCATAATGATTACTTTAATTTTATACCAAAAATTTATCACATAGTATTTACATCTTAAGTCATCTACACTAGTAATAAATTATCTATACAATATATAAATGAAATATTTTGTTTTGGTGTGACCTATTTTTCTACCATTTTTACCCTTATATTATTGTGTAATTTATTTAATAACTTCCTATTATTAACTTCCACATAACTTATTATTATTAACTTCCACATAACTTCTTATTATTAACTTTCACATATTGTATTTTTTTAAAAAATTATTTTAACAAAAAATATCGTTTATCTTTTTATGTGCATTAAAAAAGTGGACAGACGGATACGCGAGTGACCGTCTGGATGCTAGTGATTTATAATAACAATATTAGTTTCTATTTAGAAGTACACATCACATCTTCTGAACATTTCATGGTGAAGATGCTTATCTATTACCGTCCATATCTTCTTCGTATCAAATTTGTATCAAATTAGTGCAATTTCCTGTGTTATGTGACGCTGATAAAAATACCCGAAATATTTTTTGTTGATAATTAATTTTTTTCTTTGATTATTATATACTGCAATATATAAAAAAATCAATTGAGAAAAGAAATTTAATATTATTATTATTATCTTTTTATTATCCTATCAAAACAATTTTGTGATTCCAACAATAAAATTTCGTTATGAACAGAGACTAGTTTAAAATTTTAAGCGGGTAAAACTATCATTTATTGGAAAGACCGAAAATTAGTTCAGATGGAGCAAATATTTTTATTTTATAATTCTATCATAAATAATTTTGTTATTCTATACTTAAATTTTCGTTACAAAAATGAGTTGTTTCAAAAATTAAGACGGCTAAATTGCCGAACGCTAAAAAGACTGAAATCAAGATTTTCAGAAAATTTCTCGTGAACCACTAATGAAATAAAAATCCTAAAATATTTTTAGCATAACTCGAATTCACTTGTATAAAAATTATTTAAATTTATATCCAATCATAATATATTATAGATGTGCAAATATACTATAATCTTAAAATATTTATTTATTTTAAAATTACGGATCTTACAATATTACTCTGTCCAGAATAAAAAATATTTTGAATAACCACATTGAAATTTATATGAAGCTCAATAACTCAAAATCTAAACTCTTTTGCTAATGTGAATCCGTACAGCACACCAAAAAGTTCAATAGTATATACATTACATGAACTCAAATATCTTGCGAAGCCTTTAAGTCACTCATCCGTACAACCTCTTAAAATCACAACATCCATTTATCAAGTCATTCTTACGAACTCCATCCGTATCCGATCTCACTCAACTGAGAGGAGGACGAATCCACCTTATTTGCTTAGTCTCTCGAGCTAATTCTATCTTACTACCAAACAACTCCGTTGAAAAAAAATACTTTGAACAACTTTAATAACATACCACCACATAATTCTAGATCTTAATTTAAAAAAATCTTTTCAAACATAAATATTGTTTTAAATTGGTTAATTTTAAAATTAGAATTTATAAGAAGGACAATTTAGATAAGTTAATTGAAAATAAAAATAATTGCTAAATTTTATTAAGTAAAAATATTGAATTGTTTATTATAATATATTATTTTATGAATGAAATATATTTTTAATTATATTTTTAGAAGAAACAAAAGTGTAAAATTGCCGACATGTTTAGTCCTCTAAAATAGGATTAATTTTACGTTAAAATTTATATTTTGTTATTTTGTTCAAACAAAATTGATAATTTATGAATCTATATTTTACCTTTAAAGTTTCTAAATCATTTTATTTTAATATTATATAGTTTGATTGTAAGTATTATAAACACACAGCGACATCCGCAGCGGATTGCTCCGTAAGTATGTTTCCTGCGTTTCACAATCAAATCAAACAGCATAACCGCACGTGCACATCCCACATCCGCTTTTTTTATTGGTTGCTTTTATAATCATCTCTTTAAGAAATTACTAGAACATTCATAATCATAACCATAACTCATAATTATAATAATAATTATAATAATAGTTCATTGACTCTCTTCCATTTTATTTTTATTTTTAATTACTTACATTTCTTGTTCCGTGTTTTATTTTCTGTTTTACCCATTTCAGGGACAAATCTCTCTCGTTTTTCTTCTGCTATTCCTTCTCAATTCGAATCCCAATTTTTCTGTTTTTCTTCTCCACGCTTTGGTTTTTCCAGATTCTATTTTCAAATTCGCGGCTCTTCAAGGTTGAACTTGGCGTTTTTTTAAAATATATTTATTAGGGTTAGGGTTTTGTTCGGGCAAATTTAATTGGGATTTTTTTTTTTGTTTCTGTTGCGGTGAAAAAGGGCTAGTTTCTATTTATGATTTTTTTATTCGAATAAAACATCAAAATCTGAGTTTTTTCCTTTCTGTTTTTTTGTTCTCAGTGTATTTTTTATTTGGGATGGACTATTTTTTCTTCTTCTTGTTGTTACTACTTGTGTTTTGGGCTTCATAGTGCGGCATTTACTAGAAGTTGCACCCTGCAAAGTGAACAAGCTGATGAAGTGTGGTGATTGTAAGGTATTGTGAGTTTAGCATTCTGAATTGGAGGTGGAATTTTTGGTTAGATCATGGATCCTGTAAGAGGTGTGGGAAGTGTTGTGGGGACTCTGCTGATTCCCATGCGGTTTGTGTGGCCATATGGTGGAAGGAGTGTTTTTCTTAGCGGTTCTTTCACAAGGTGTGTGTTTTATTGATTTATGCTACATCAACATCTTGGTGCATGTTTAGATTCGTGGCGGGTTTGATCAGAGATCACTTTTGCCTAAATCGTGTCACATTCATTCTACCAAACTTATTGCAAATTTAAACATGCACTAATGCTGTAGTTTACTTTGGCTTCTCTCTAATGCAAAATTGTAAATTTTATTTGAAAGGTGGTCTGAACTTTTGCCAATGTCTCCTGTGGAAGGTTGCCCGACAGTGTTTCAAGTTATTTATAGATTGCCCCCTGGTTACCATCAGGTGAGTTTTATGATAATAGCACCAACTTTACTTTTTAGTTGTATAAATAGTAAAAGAAAATATCATTTATAGTTTAATGTGAAGTGTGGTTGATATGGAAGTGCAATGAGCAGAGGTCTATGTTGTTGGTCTCAGCAGCAGCACGACCCTAAAACTGCTCTTAGAATTTGGATTAGACCTAACTCAACCATTAAAAAACAGATTAGGAATGCCTCCCACTTATAAATTCAGTTTTAGGCCATACCTCATCAAATGTAGGACTCTTAGTACATCCCCTTACTCCCGGGGCTGAACATGTGGAGCGTATGTGAGGAGTGTCTCGATAGTGGGTGGCCCAAGATATAAAATATTGGATAGATCATGATGCCGATTTAGAATTTAGGCTGGACCCAACTCAACCCTTACAAAACCAAATTGTAAGTTTAGGGATGTTTTCCACTTATAGATTCATTTTGAGGCCATATCTTATCCAATATAGGTCATAGCGGTTGCTATAGGGCAAATAGCGGGATAGCAGAGCAGAGCGGTTCCTGGCCCGGAGCGGTTTCTGGGCCCGCTATCCTTTCCACCTAAAAAACCGTAATTACCCCATATGTTTACAAAATTTTAAGGATAGTTTTGGGTTTTCAATCAAATTTGAGTTGAGACTCAACCTCAACCTTTCTTCATAGTTAGTTATGCACTTCAAGAGTCATGCATGCTTTGATGAATATATTATGAGTTGGGTTATTTGTTTAATTTTATATTAAATATATGTTTATAACTATTATACGTAATTTGTCCAAAAAATGATCAAATAGAGTGGTCATACTGCTACACGCCATCCAACTATCCCACTTTTGGGGTCGGCCGCTCTGCTCTGCTATTTGGGAATGACTACTCTGCAAAAATCCCAATAGTATATAACATAAATTCTCAAAATAGCACAATTTACCAAATAAATTGAGTTATCAATAATCCCAATAATATAATGAACTCTTGTCATTTGTCACTAACATTAAAATCACAACTCAACTATTAATTAAAGTAATCAAAATGACATCATACGTTTAAGTCGCAGCCTTTAGTCTCCGTCTCCATAACCTTTGTCGGAAAGAATGGTCTTTGTCATCTGAAACTGAAAAACACAGTCGTTCCTAAGTGTTTCCGCAGCGAACAAATAAAGGAGAAGAGGTGGTGTGGCTTTGCGCGTTTAACAAAGAGGTTTGAGAATCTTTGTGAATGAGAGTGGGAAGAAGATGCACGGTCACACTTCTACTAATAAAACAGAGACCAAAAAAACTTAAAAAAAGATGAATGAATATCACAAGGGATAAATAGGAAATATCAAACCCTTTCCCTAATTGTGGATGCAACAGCTTCATCAGCAATTTTTCTACGATATGCAGTCACAACTATTCACCTGTTGGGTGCCGGTAGCCTGCAAAATGGGTCGTAGGCATTGTATAACGAAATTTCGCTTTGCAAACCCACAATTTCGCTGCTATTGACCATATAACTTGAGGAGATGTTTAAAATCCTAATTCCTGTTTCAACTTTCAAGCTTTAGCCTTTTAAGATTCTGTTATGATTTTAATTGTTATTTGTCTTCTCAATGAGTGTTATTCAAGTTTGAACGGTAAATCTGCTCATGTTTGAGATCGCAAGTTTATGATTATAGTGAAAATCTGAAAGTCCCACGTTGGTTAGAGATAGAGTTTGGAAAGACTTTATATAGAGTGACATTCTCACCTTACAAGTCAGTTTTGTAGTGATGAGTTAGACCAAACTCTAATTCTAATAGTGGTTATGATATGCATAGGTGAAAATGATAAAAAATGCTTTTGCAAAAGTTTGGTCTTTATTCTCGACAGCCAGATACTTATACTTAACATGTAATTGTTTCAACGCAGTACAAGTTTTTTGTTGATGGGGAATGGCGGCATGATGAGCATCAACCATATGTACACGGACAATATGGGATAGTCAACACTGTCTTATTGGCAACTGATCCTAACTACGTACCTGTTATAAATTTAGACATTGCTCCCGGAAGTAACATGGATGTGGATAATGAGAATTTTCGCCGCATGGTAAGTGGTAACAGTTAGCCATGCCTCAACAGCATTGTTATTGTTGACATGGCTGATATTTTTATGCTGGCTTTTGACTATGTTGTACTCCTGACTTGTTTGTTTGATAAAAAAATGTTGCTATTTGTTGAGATTTTTTTTTTTTTTGGATCAAATTTGTTGAGATCTTTGAATAAAGTTATGTTAAATTATTAATCAATATATTTTTCCTGGTCCTCTTATTTGTCTTAGATAGGATACATAATATAGTTAATAGAAAGAAAGTTGGGTAGCTTCCATTGCAAAAAAGATGGTAAGAATTTTAGGTTGATCTGATCGAGCGTAATCCAATACGAGAGACAGAGGAAGACCTAGGAAATTTTATATCAAACCATTATTAGAGATAAGTAGTGTATCTCTGAACTTGATACACAACAAGGCATGTGGCCTCATTTGACTTGTGAGTTGCTTGCTCGATGTTGCATTGGTGACTTACAATGTCTCAGTTATACTTGTTTTCTTGCACTTTTTATTTATTTATTTTTATTTCTACTAGTACTAAATGCCCATACCTAAAATTGTACTGTATTTGCATTTGAAATTTGATTGTTCCAGCATTAAGTATAATAATAGCGCTTGCATATAAAGCAGGTTCAGGTGACAGAAGCTACATTGAGTGAGGTGCTTCCAAGAATATCAGATACTGATGTACAGATCTCTCGTCAGCGTATTTCTGCATTTCTGTCTATGCACGCAGCTTATGAATTACTTCCCGAGTCAGGCAAGGTTTGGATGTTTTACCATTGACCATTTATTTTTTGATTTAATGAGTTGCTGACTTGCTGTAATAATGTACAACCACACACTAGTCACTGATTTAGTGACTCCTGGCTGCAGGTTGTTGCATTGGATGTTGATTTACCTGTGAAACAAGCATTTCATATACTGCATGAGCAGGTAGATCTTTAAAATATTGAAATAATTTTGCCAATACTTGTTTGACTATTTTCCTTTACCCTGATAAAAGGTGAGAAAAGCTCAATGTTTTTTTGAATTACTTTCTGGAATTTGACCAATTGTTTTGGAAACTACCATTGACAATTATTTTTAGTTGTTTTTCCATCTTTCATTGAGTTTTATAGAGATATGATATAAAATAAAACATTACGGCGTGGTTTGAGCTATGTAGTCGACCCCACTTAGTGGGATAAAACTTATTTGCTGTTGTTTTCCCTTCTTTCGTCAAGTTTTGTCAAATATCGTTCACGGCAGACTCTGGTGGAGGCAGAAATTTTATAACCACCATGGCCAATTTGTGAAGAATGGCAGCACCTTGGTGTTTTACGGCAAATAGGTGGCTTAAAACGGTGGTTTTTTGAATTTCTTCCGTGGTTCACCATCCACAACCGTTATCATTGCTTTCATCATATTTTGATTTTTCTGATTTAGAGTTATTGCATTTTCACACATTGCTGATTGGAAATATTCTTATGCAATTTTTCTGTCCTGGATAATTTACAGGGAATATACATGGCTCCTCTGTGGGACATGTGCAAGGGGCAGTTTGTTGGTGTTCTTAGTGCTTTGGATTTTGTCTTAATTTTAAGGGAGGTACGTGTTATATTTTTTCATTTTACTATTCGTAGAAGATCTTAAGTCCGAGATCATCATTGCTTTGTATAGGCAAGTTAATGAAGAAGCTCTTCTCCTGATTGTCAGTGTTGATGTTTTCTTCTTCTGTATTGTTTTTCTAGAAGAAAGAATTGTGTGAACAAAGTATTATTGATGTTGAGGATTAGTGGAATATATAGCAATAGTTCCTTTTTACAACATAAGCAAATATTATTTCAATCGTTTACATTTCTACCGGTAACACTCATATTTCATTGTTGAAATTTGTTAATTGTCATTGCCCTATTCTCAGTTAGGGAATCGTGGGTCTAATCTGACAGAAGAGGAGCTTGAAACACATACCATATCGGCTTGGAAAGAAGGAAAGTCATATTTAAACATACAGAACAATGGACATGGAACTGCATTTTCTAGACATCTTGTTCACGTAAGTGTTTTGTACGTATGGTTTTAGTATGTCACAAGGTTCACATATTTTTTATTACATGCAGACTATGGTATGTAAAACATATATGATGATGCATGTGTCTAATAGTGTATAAAGAGCTGTTTGGTTTAGTTATAACTAATAGCTATGGAATATTTTAAATTTCTATATCTGAATAACAGGTTTGATATGGAATAGTGTATGCAACAAGCATAAAGGAATGAAAAAGAAATATTAACAGTCTATATTTTAAAACTATCTGGAAACTTATGCCAGAGACTCCATAGATCCTTCCTATTGTGTCAATACTAGAAAGCTGGAATGTGTGGCTGTGGAGTTGAGGGAATGAGTGTCTTTTTAAAATTATTGTCCACTTTATCTGAAAAATATATTTTGGTAACTTTTCACTAAGCTGTTAACAGGTGGCTTATGCAAAAGGAAGGAGTCCCTTTTCTCTAAACTTAAGAAACAATATAGTGATTCCATTCCATGTTCTTTATTGGTTATAGATATTAATGATGTGTTGAGACTTCAAATTGCCAAGTGTTACTATTTCCATTCAATGGCCATCTATTGCCATGGTGGTCATGTCGGGTTGAGAAGAAATTTAGACGAATGTTTTGAATGCCAAGTTTCTATTGACAGTCAAAGCATGGAACTTTGCAGACCCGTGGGATGTTGTATAAGAAATTGTAAGGAAAAGGATCTTGAATCTGCTTTAGTAATCTTCCTGAAAACTTCTCTTGGCTTAGGCCTGTATAAACGTGCTTTCAACCATGAAATGATTGAATGAGTTTAGCTTAAGACTTCTCGAGTGAAGTGATTTTGGGTCTATGTTTCTCTGTTTTATGCTTTAATTAACGTTTCCTTTCTATTTCACCAACTGTACTGTTAGCTCACTTACTATTTTTGGGACTCTTTTTGAATTTCTTTTATTATGCAGGCAGGGCCATATGATAATCTGAAAGACATTGCCATGAAGATCTTGCAAAAGGAGGTTTCAACAGTTCCTATTATCCATTCATCTTTTGAAGATGGTTCTTTTCCGCAGTTACTACATCTTGCTTCACTGTCAGGAATACTCAAATGTAAGCTCACATGATAGTATTTTTGATAATGTTATTAGGGATGTTTTATTCTTACCAAATTGATTTTCCAGGCATTTGTAGGTATTTTAGGCATTGCTCTAGTTCATTGCCTATACTACAACTTCCAATATGTGCAATACCCGTGGGCACATGGGTGCCCAAAATCGGAGAATCAAACCGGCGGCCTCTAGCAGTGTTGAGACCGAGCTCTTCTCTTGCTTCAGCCCTGAATTTATTAGTTCAAGGTGTGAACTTTTTGTCTGACCTTGAACATAGTGTTTCAAAAAGAAATGCGAGAGAGAAAGAATGAAGAAATTGGTATCCCATTATACTTTTGAGGTATTAGGCTGATGATAGATAGCACTGTGCCCCACTTTGAGAAGAATGTTGATTTGTGATTTATGATTAACGGTCAAATGAGAATATGAATTTCATGGGGAATATCATTTTCAGCTTTAAGCCTCAAAATATAAAATAAAATTTTCCATTGATCTTGAGCGTAACTATACTTACATTACTTTTGGCCCTTTGCTTTTGCAGCACAAGCAAGTTCAATACCAATTGTTGATGATAATGACTCATTGCTGGATATATATTGTCGGAGGTTTGTTTTGTTGTGTTTTTTTCATCATTTTTATACTTCGTTATATTATAAGAAAATCATATAAATTAGAGTATCTTAGTTTATTTCCTAACCTAGTTTATAATCTTATAGTATCTTAGATTATCTCTTCGGATTTTTTCTTTTTGAAAACTCGGTATCCGACCCTAAGACCGACTACTCCGAGGGAGACCAATTAGGATTATTTCTTATATTACTTTATTATTATTATTATTATTACTAGCGCGCTTTTTTAATGCGCATGAATGAAAATATAAACGATACTTTTTGTTTAAATAAAGATTTTAAAAAATACAATATGTGGAAGTTAATAATAAGAAGTTATGTGGAAGTTAATAATAATAAGTTATTAAGTAAATTACATAATAAAGTAAGGGTAAAAATGGTAGAAAAATAAGCTACACCAAAACAAAGTATTCCCTTTATATATTGTATAGATTATTATTATTATTATTATTATTATTATTATTATTATTATTATTATTGTTATTATTATTGTTATTATTGTTATTATTATTATTATTATTATTATTATTATTATTATCTGATTTGTTTATTGATTTTTCTATTTATCTAAGATTGAGTCTATGCATCCCTGTAAATAGGGTTTAGTGTTTAGTCTTTTGTTTTAAGTTAGCATCAAGCTATTACCAATAATAATCAAGTTATTATATTTCTCTCCTCTTTTGATCTAAAACACATAATTTCAACATGACATCTAGAATCTGATTCGATCCTCCTTGACCTGTCTTGTCACTATTCTGCTGCCATGTTCCTGAAAATTTGGGATCACTCTTATACTTGTATACTTGTATTTGGAATCCTTTGTTATCATTCTTTATTTCAAATTGTTTTTTCTAGAGATTTTTTTACCATATAGTCTCAAAAGCGTTAAGCCTGTCTCAGCCACTGTTGATATTGCTGTTACAGACCACCAAACTCCGTCATTGAATATTTTACAGCAACCTTATTCAGCATAACCAGCACTATGGAGATCATAATATGCCAATCTACAAACCCCGTATTCTTTATCCAACCACATCTTTTTTGTTTGCATGTCTCAAGTGCTTTTCTACTGTCCTGTTGCTGTTACCGACCGCCAAACTCCGTCATTGAAATTTTTCCAGAAACCTTATTCAGCATAACCACCACCATGGAGATCGTAATATGCCAGTCTACAAACCCCAAATTCTTTATCCAACCACATCTTTTTTGTTTGCATGCCTCAAGTATTTGCAGTGTCTGGTCAGAATCCACTGCATATTTTATTTCTTACTTTTCTACTGTTCTATTCAGTTTATGGTGGCTTACCATCTTGTGTTTTAGTGTTTTACTCGCTCTTGTTTGTGTTCTTGTGTAGTGGTTGCATTTGCCAGTGTTTGTGAGTATCTTTGGTCGGTCTGTTACCACATATTTTTTGTTTGCATCGCTCATGTATTTGCTGTCCTTGGTCAGAAACCACAGCATACTTTATTTAGTTTGAAGTTCTGTTACCATAATCCGTTCCAATTAGTGTCTCTTCCGTCAAAATGAATGCTAGCTCAATACTGTTTAAGCTTGTTTAGAAGTTTTTACAGTTCCAATTTCAGTTTGTGTTAGAAATTGTGACACCTTCATTTTTGAGCTTTTGCTGTCGGAGTTAGCATTAGCCCAATATCGTTGCGGTTAAGTGATTAAGCATTTCTCATTGGTTTGGTTTGAAATTGTGATATCATTGGCTGGTTGTTATGGCATTCCTTGTTAGGTAATCCAAGATATCTTTTTGGGTCTGATTATGTCACACGTTATATTTTCTCTTTCAAAGGGTATATTTGTAACAAGCTTTAAGGCTTATTAAACTTTAGTTTAATGTGTTGTTTGAATGTAAGAAAATTTTAGTGTCTTAATTTATTTCTTAGGATCAAATTTTAGTTTATAAATTTGATAAATAGGATTACCGTCTGTTCTTCTGCATCATTTTAGCATCAATCTATTATCAATAATATTCCAAGCTCCTATTTTTCATCTTTTTATCTAAAACATATAACTTCAACATGGTAAAACCAAAATTCTAATATGGTATCAAAGCCAATCGATTTGAGTCATCTACCTATTATTTACACACCAAGTCCAATACTTCTAGGCATGGGAGGGTGTGTTAGGAGAAACCCAAACCCTATGTTGAAAAGATATAAGAGCTTGAAAGAGTTTATAACAAGTAACACACTGCAGTTTATTAATCAGTTTTATAAGAATGTATTAGGCTCAATATAGAAACCTAATATACTTCATTATGTCTTGTTTGAGACACTGTAAAGTCAATATTGGTTGAAGCTTTAAATTGTCATAGCATTTCTTTCTTTACAATGGCTTGAGAAAACTTCTCACTTTTACTCCCCACCATTTATTTATAGTGATATAATGGCTTTGGCGAAGGACAGGGCATATACACATATCAATCTTGATGAAATGACTGTTCAACAGGTATGTTCGTATTTCATTCTTGCATACAAACAAACTTCTGAATTTTGAAAATTAAAATACAACTTTCAAGTATGTTCTGATTGCATCCTTGTTAGTTAAGTAGTTTGCTTGCTGAGCTAGGGAACACTATATGATGATCTAGGGAATAAATAGATTTGTTCAGTATTCTTTAATAAATTTTCTTTTTCTAAACCATGTTTATTTCGCATCATACAACATAGGCTAAGCTAGAAAGAAATGCTTTGATTTACTGTCTTGGGTCTTGTTGAAGTATAAACTTTCGTTTAGTTTTGAAAGAATTCAGTCCTGTGCCTTAATGATATTAGAATAAATTGGTTGTTGAAGTATTGATGAATAGTAGATGCTAATGTTGACAGTTATATAGTAGGTTAACTGTTTCTTTTTCTTCCAATATATTAGTTATTGATTCTTAGCTGAGTTCTTATTTATATAAATTATGTTGAAATTTGAAAGTTATTGTGTACCCTTGACCTACTCTGCACATAATGGAAATATGTATGCGCTTTTCCGAATGAAGAGTTTTGTTCTTCATTGTCCTGTATTTTCCTGCTGAAGCTTTGTGAACTTCCAGTGATGTCTTATCTTATAAATTAAGAGCTTTGTTAGTGCATGTAACGAGTCCTAGCCGCCATGAATAGCTCCTTGAGAGAAGATTAGCCATGATAGCATCTTCATTTTTGTTGACTTACTTGCATTGATGTTACTTGAGCCTTTTATTTTATTTTATTATGTTAAAAAAAGGAAGATTTCACTTTGAACTTTTAATGTTAGTCTTATTATCAGTCTGTAGTCTAAGCTTAAGGTTGCATACTTCGTTTATTTATATGGAGGCCCTTGTTTCTCTTTTATTGATTTTTTCTTAACATCATAGTATCTCTTGTTTGCCGTATTGTCCAGGCTTTACAGTTGGGCCAGGATGTGTGTAGTCCCTACGAGCCTAGAAGTCAAAGATGTCAAATGTGTTTGCGTTCTGATTCACTGCATAAAGTGATCGAGCGTTTGTCAAATCCAGGTTGCCTTCTTTTCCTTTGTTTGGATGAAGCATGTTTTAATTTTCATTGAATATGGATGGTAGAGAATTTTTTTCCCCGATATCCATCGACTTTATTTTGAGAATTGCCATGCTGAAAATTGTGCTGTAAAATATTGGATTAAGGTGTGAGGCGGATTGTTATTGTGGAAGCTGGCAGCAAGCGTTTAGAAGGCATCGTCTCGTTGAGTGACATATTCAAGTTCTTTCTCAGTTAGTTATTTGGATTGATAATGAAGGAGTACAAGGGTATGTGCAGTACTATATAAAATATTTAATTTAGGCCACCATCACCTCAATGATATTTATGTTTTGATATGTTCCGATTTTGTTGTAATACAGTTAGATTGGCCTCTTGCTTTGGTGCCTCATTTTATAATTTTAGGCTAGAGGAAGAGGCCTGTAAATTCTGAGTATTTATTGCCTTAAATTTATTCATCTTCCCATTTGTATTGTATCTTCGAATGTCTAGTGCCCATGATACAGATAATACCAAAAAAGTGGGTGGAGGGGCTAAAGATCTGTAATCATTACATGTTGTGAAGATACAAAATTTTAAGTAAAAAAATTGGTATGTAGACTTGGATACTCTTGTTTTATGCTTGTTGATTGAGAATGTTTGTTAAATTGTTATCTTTGCTTATTTATTCTTGTGTGTTGAATTGTTATCTTCGGTTATTTTTAGGGCATCTCCAATGGTGCTATTCATTTTGGGTTCTTTTTGGGATCCATTAAACTACATCAGTTTGAAGCAACTTAATCTAAATTTTGAAAATGATTTTTTTTTTTTAATTTTAAAAAAAATGGAAAATGGATTGACAATTTGGAATTTCTGACTTATACATATTGGAACTTTTGAAATTTCCGATGAAGTCATGTGTTATTTTATTGAAAATTGTGATATTTTTGATATATATCTATTCTGAATTGAGTCGACGCTTAACCCATTGCCAAGCAGACCCAAAGTTTACTGGGGTTGGGCCAAAGAGGACCACGCTGTCGGGCACAACCTTCCTCTTCGTCGGACACAGGCCAACGGCTGTCGGGCAGAACCTTCGCATCCGACTAGCTAGCATCTTTCTTCCCTATCGTCAGGCAAGACTCTCGCATCCGACCAGTCAGCATCTGCCTACCAGAGGAGCTCCTCGAGCCCTTTTTCACGTTCTCTACGTGTCCCTCACGCAGTGACATGTCATAAAATAACTACCTACGCCTTGGAGATTCAGTCTTCCTCCTTCCGAATGGTGCATAACAGTTATCCTAGGGCGAAGATCACATGCTGGTCTTCACGACGCCACGTTAGTCCTAGCAGTTACTGTCATTAGGTCTGATAGCCCAGTCCAGTGCTAGGTAACCGTTGACTCTGCGCTGGGGGCTTACTATAAATACCCTCTTCACTAGAGGATCAGGTAACTTAACTCTGTTACTCTCTCTTTGTACTTGCCTCCACTCTGCTCGTCACTTACTTTGGCATCAGAGTGTGTTTCAGGTACATCCCTTCCTTCGGTGGACGGCTAGCAGATCAACGACGTGTGGCAAGTCACTGAATCCCTTCTGATCAGGCAAGATCAGTGGCGCCGTCTGTGGGAACTAAGCTTCTTCGTTCCTCCGAGCAGAGAACCAAAACTTCTTCCGTTTAAATTTCAAGATCATGACTAGCTCACGCCACGATGATGCTGTCCACAACTCCGCCGTCACGCCGGTCACCAACGACGACCCTTAGCGGGGACATCTCAACCCCGCGAGACCGACGTCAGGGACGGCCACACCGCTTCTCCTTCATCTGAGGACGCGGTACATCACGTCGTTCCTCGGGCGAGGAGTCCGACGGTGTTTCAGCCAATTCCCACGCTGGTCAGAGCGGACCCGACGATGGTTGCCCTCTTCGCAACCATCAACCAGACGAACCAAATGCTATTCCGGCAGAATGAGCGCATTGGCGCGCTGGAGCACGACACCTCGTCCCGCTCTCCTCTGCGGAAAAATCAGCGCGGGAACTCTCGGAGCCCCTTTCCCCAACCACGGGGGTGCCGACCACAACTGGAGAGACCCCATCCTGTAGCCTCCAAGAAGCGAGTAAGGCCACTACCCCAAAAGAAGAGACACTCTCCGGATTCGAGGGCGACCAGGCCGGAAGCCCCGACCAGAAGACCAAGGGTGAATAATCAACCTCCTCGACACGGGTCGTCGCCCCCTCATTCCCTTGTCTCCAGCGACGAGGACGACTATAGGACCCTCTTGTCACGAGAAATCATGGCGACCCATCCCCCACGGGATGGAGAAATCACCCGCACTCTCGATGTATGACGACACCTCGGATCTAGACAATCATCTAGAAGACATCGAGGCTATGCTCGACTACAGGAACGTCTGAGAGCCATCAAGTGTAGGTTCTTCTCGACGACACTGAGGAAGGGCGCCATAACATAGTTCAAGAGCCTGGAGCTTGAATCCATCACGTCGTGGAGGGTCCTAAAGGACCTATTTTCACGATATTTCACGGCGTCAAGACGACATCCGAAGACGGAAGCCGCACTGGGCGCGATCATCCAGTCTCCAGATGAGCCTCTCAGAAACTACATCGAGAGGTTCACAAGGGAGGCGGTCCAGGTAACAACTTCAGACGAGATAAAACGTTACTTGATGGAGCAGGGCATACGCCGAGACTCCAAGTTCTATGAGGCGTTGGCCATCCACCGACCAGACTCCCTGCAGGACTTCCTCGAGAGAGCCCGTCATTACATCCGGTTCGAAGAGACGGAAGCCGCCAACACCGCCCTTGACACCCGAAATCGAGAAATACCTTGTTGTTTTCGAGATGAAGCATCAGCTTCCCGACGCGGAGGAGACCGACAACAAGAGGATCGTTCCCGGGAACCTCAGGAGCAGCGGGACCCCGTTGGCAGTTTTACCAAATATACGACACTAGTCGCTTCTCGCGAGCGCATACTGACAGAGTGTGCCAATTCAGAATTTGTCCGGGGAGGTGTTCGTTTTCCAAAATCGGCACTCACCAAAGCCAACGTGGACAAATCGAAATACCTCCGCTTCCACTGAAGCCACGGGCATGTAACATAAGATTGCATCCATTTGAAGGATGCGATCGAAATTCTAATCAAGGACGGGCATCTGAAAAGGTACACCCGGGTAAGAGACCCCCGCGGTAGGAGGCCCCGAGGCCAAAAGAGTCGAAGACCTCATTCCGTCGGAGGAGACTCCTGAAGAAAAGGTTAGGAGAAAAATTCCTTCTACAAAAGGTAGAGAAGACTCCCTCGGGAGAAGACAAATGTACTTTCCTCTGTAAAAGGCAGAAAGGACTCCTGAACAAAAGGTTAGGAGAAACATTCCTTCTACAAAAGATAGAGAGGACCCCAGAACAAAAGGTTTGGAGAAATATGTTCCTTCTGCAAAATGCAGAGAGGACTCCTGAATAAAAGGTTAAAAGAAAAATGCCTTGTACAGAAGGTAGATAGGACAGTTACAAAAGGTAAGATGAATCCATTGCGAAAGGCAATGAGGAGATACTTCGTGGAAAAGACACAAAAAGACTTACAAAAGGTAAATTGAAGAGATCTTGTGCAAAAGACACGGACGGACTTACAAAAGGTAAGTCGAGGGCAATGACCATCCTCATGCAAAAGGCATAGGGAACTTGCATAGGGTATTAGAACATCGTTTGACCTCACAGAAACAACAGTGGAGATGACATTCTCTAGGCATGACGACCATTCAGTACTTGGACACACAGACATCAAGCGTCCAAATTGATCGAAAGAGGAATAGATTATTCATCTAGTTCCATATTTGTACCCAATAAAAAGTTATTTCGCGTGAAAAAGGCAGCGAGAGCGCTTACAAAAGGCAAGCGAAGAGATAAGATTTCACGCAAAAGAGAATGAAATCCCTTACAAAAGGTAAGGTGAGGAGATATCTCATGCAAAAGGCACGAAATGACTTACAAAAGGAAAGTTGGAGAGAACCTATGCAAAAGGCACGAAAGGAATTACAAAAGGTAATTTGGAGAGAGCCTGTGCAAAAGGCACGAAAGGACTTACAAAAGGCAAGTGAAGGGGTAAACACGCTGAAAGAATCCTGACAGGATGTCCATAGAAAATCTGCGTCTTCGAGAACGACTAGCTAAGCGTGCATGTAATGATGCATAATGTATGCAAGGTATGTATGCAAAATGACGATGTATGTTCGGGTTACTGAGGATATGAGGATGTGGATCATGGGTGATGGTCGTGCCAAGTATGGTTGGGCTTTGGTTTGGCGTGTCAAAGAAGGTTAGACTTAGGTTGGATGGGTGCCAAGGAAGGTTGGGCTTTGGTTCGTGGTGCTAAGGAAGGTTGGGCTTAGGTTGGTGTGCTAAGTAAGGTTGGGCTTAGGTTGGTGTGCCAAGTATGGTTGGGATTTTGTTTTGGAAGGGATTTTGAAAGTGAATCACCAGATGAGAATTAGTTTTAAAGGGTAGACCAGGCGAGAACTGGTGGCCAAAGGGTTAAGTTGTCAAGCGAGAACTGACTTTCTATTTTATTTGTTAGACGAGAACTGATTTTAAAAGGGTTTGAAGAATGAGTGACCAGACGGGAACTGGTTTTAAAAGGATGTCTACCAGACGAGAACTGGTATCTTGAGGTGATTTTCCAGACGAGAACTGGTTTCCAAAGGGTTAAGTTGTCAGGCGAGAACTGACTTTCTATTTTGCTTGTCAGACGGGAACTGATTTTAAAAGGGTTTGAAGAATGGGTGACCAGACGAGAACTGATTTTAAAAGGCTGTATACCATATGGGAATTGGTATCTTGAGGTGATTTTCCAAACGAGAACTGATTTTAATGTTATGCCAGCAGAGCAGATCTTATTTGGTTAAGGGTGTCAAGGATGATTGGGCTTTGGGTTGGGTGAGGAATGAGCTTAACTTCTCGATGTTTGAAATCTGACGATGCTACGATCGAACGGCATATGCGGATGCTCTTGGTGCCCCAAGTTTGATCGTTTGCAGAAGTTGCGCGCATGTTCCTCGTTTCTAGCTGAGATGACAAGATGGATTGCAAATGACAGTATAAACGTAACAATGTGATTAATGCATGTTGGTTGTGCTTTTGCTCTGCCCCAAGGCTTTTTGACACTAGTTGTGAACTCAACATTTACTAGTGCGTGACAAGGTCTGCTTGACCAATTTTGAAAGTATAGAGGGAAATTGCCCCTTTGCAATT